GACCCTGGTGATCTCTGTGCTTTGCACTGAGTGTGGTGTGTGTGGGATGCAATCCCTGGTTGGGCAGGGTTGGGTCTGCTCCTCCTGTAGGTGCAGACACGGCCCCCATGGTGAGACAGTGGCCTTGCCATGTTTCCACACCATCCCAGCACTATCACTTGTAGCAGTGCCCACTGTTGTTAAACCGTGCTGCTGGTTTCAGCAAGTTCAGCCACTGAGAAGAGGCTGAGCTGGAAAGTGAAATCACTGAATAGAAAATCAGTTCTGTTGAGCTCAAACCAGGACAGTTGATAGGGTCTGCTGTGCTCCATCATCTCTTTGACTGGCTTTGGAGTGACTGCAGTGGTACCCCCATGCACTGTCTGGTGCATCTGTGGTGACCACGGGGAGGAGGTGCCCTGTGTCCTCCCAGACAGGCCCGTGGCATCTCCTGTCACTGTGGACATGGGGCTTTGTAGGTGACCAGAGCTCAGGGTCCACCTGGGACCGGTCTGGTGGGGTGCAGCAGTCCCGGAGGCCTCATCCATGACAAGGACATAAACCTATGGGGTTATGGAGGGTGTTCAGTCTCCATGGATGTTATAATGTGGCCCCATGGTGTGTTTTGAGCCTCTTGCCCAGCTCTTGGTCCTGGTTCTGCCACCACACATCCTGTCCCTAAGCCCAATACCACCACTGGTGTGGGCAGGATGTCCACAGCGGGTTTGGGCCACACGCTCTTTGCATCTGTCTGGAAGGGAAGGTGTTAGAGAGGACTCAGGTCTCAGCTGTTAATTAATCCCTGTTAATTGATCTTTGGTTGGTAAGGGCAGTTGCTCCTCACTGGTGCTGCCTCGCAGTGAGGAGCCTCTGGCTTTGTCCCCAGTTGGGGGTGAGACACCTTGGTCCCAGCTCAGGTGCAGAGCTCCGGTGAGACCCTGGAGCTCCCGAAATGTCTGCATGGGGCAGCAGAGGGGATGCAGCAGCCCCGGGAGAGACCTGGGCCATCTGGGACGGCAGCTGGAGGCCAGGGGAGATAACCCAGGGTGCTGGGACCCAAAACCTCAAGGCATGGAGGGTACCAAAGGGGCTGAGAGGGTGATTCTGGTTGCTGGCTGCATCCTCAGCTTCTGGAGGCATCAGAGACCCCAGGAAGGAGGCAGTAACATCCCGGCCACCTTCTTTGTGGGCTGATCTTCACAGCAAGGGGTGTCCTATGGCCACTGCTCACCCAAACATGCAGTGCTGGTCCCTCCTGCATTGTGGAAGCAGTTTGTGCCCTCTGCTGTGCTGGATGATGGCTGTTTTATCACCACTGTATCATCTAATTCACGCTTTGCCTCTTGTCTGCCACCCCTTGCAGATCCTTACGCCATCGTCTCCTTCCTGCACCAAAGCCAGAAGACGGTGGTGATCAAGAACACCTTGAACCCCACCTGGGACCAGACGCTCATCTTCTACGAGATCGAGATCTTTGGGGACCCCCAGAACGTCTCTGACTGCCCCCCCAACATCGTGGTGGAGATCTACGACCACGACACCTACGTAAGTGCATGGGCATGAGCGGTGTTCCCCAGGGCTCAGTTTTG